CGGTCGGTGCTTCCCCCGGGCCGCGCTGTGCGGTGCCGGACCCCCGCCCCCCCGGTGCTCTCGCCCTGCCTCCCGCTGCCGCCCCCTCCTTGCCTGCGGCCGCCCGGGGGCCGCCGGTGCGGGGATTCCACCGGGGGCGACTTGGCCATCGTCAGTCGGGGCTGGCGGCTCTCTCGGCTCCCGGGACTCGCCCGCAGGTTCCCCGGGCGAAGGCGTTTCCTACGCTTGAACCGGGATGGAAATCCCGACACCCGGGGCGGCGGAAGGTGCGATGGGCCCTGGCCGAGGTGTGTGTGGGCCCGACCCGGGGCTCTGCTCCCAGGTCACGGTCACGCTGCGCGATCCGTCACTGTAAAACCAGACTCCCGCCAGGGCACTTTTCCCCGGACTGTGACCGTACCACACTGTGTGACTTCTTCCTCTCCTCTGGCCTTTTTCTTATTTATTGACAGAAATAAATCTTGGTGTGTCTCCCATGGATGAGTATTGCTAAACATTGTCTTTTGGGGACACAATCCCAGTGTTCAGAATGAGAAGAGGGGAAAAAAACCAACCAACCAAAAATCAACCCATTAAAGATTCAGATTTTTTTATATATATTTTTGTTGTTGTTGTTGTTGTTTTTTCAGGTTGGAATCTTCAGGAACTGTCCAGATCGACTGCAAACACAAATCCGTCATTCTAAATGAATGCCTCTACATTCTGACATCCGTTTACCAAAAAAAAAGTTGGGAATGATTGGTGTCTTAGGAAGCCTGTTTTATGGTAAGTTACTTAATCATGATTTGTTAATTAAGGGGAAGGATGAGCTCTGGAAATAAAGGGATTTTTAATTAACTGAATCCTGACAGGGTTGGTTGGTAAAACCATATTAAGCAGATATCGGATGTTCTCTGTCCTAGATTGGGTAATCTCATAGTTTCCAATGGTTAGTGAGTGTTTTAACCACTGAAGCATGAGGTTTTGATTTTTTTTTCTCCTAAAAGAGTGGATTGTTGTCCCCACAATCTTTTTTTTGCCATTTTGACCATGCTAACATTTTTTGCTCAGTCTTTGGCTGGCAGATGAGAAAGCTAAATCTGAACACACTGTTCTTGGCAATGACTTGTCTTTCCACTCCTCCAGTCAGCGGTATCATGATTTCCATGTTAAATTCTATTCCCTCCTTATTGTGAAGGCACTAAACTTTACCCCCATTGTTTCCCAGTCACCTCTTTCTCTTGGGCCTTTCTTTATGTCCCTGCACTCTATAAATTGCATCAACTTATGTCACTGACAGATTTTATCCTATTCCTGCGAGTGGCTCCTTGGTACAAAATCTTTACAGCACAAAGCAAGCAAGTGCACAGCTGAAAAAGTGTTAACAGCCGGGGGAGCTTGCCGACGGAGCTCCCTGCCCACAGACTGGCAGAGTCCCTCCGGGCACAGGCAGCCGCTGCCTGCGGGCTCGGAGCCGCTCCCCAGTCTCCAGGAAGGTGCTGCCCAGAAGGGATGTTCCTGGTTTTGAAGGTTTGAATTTTGTAATAGAGACTGTGGTGGTTCACAGACACCTGTTTGATCCTTAGTGCTCTGTAATGCAAAATGTCATTTCTAAGTGTGACAGCTCCGTTTGTCCAGGCTGATGGATTTAAAATGCCCAGGGTTCCCTTGGTGTGCAGTGGTTCTCTGTACGCTGTTTCCTCTAATACAAACGGGTTTCTTTTCCCAAGTTACATTTCTTATTTGTACAACCCCTGAATTTGTTTGTGTGGCAAGAAATAAAGCTCTCTAAGATCCCTGCCCTGCCCTCAAACAGTCTGGCCAGGCTCTTGTTGCACCATTATCTTCCAGACTTCCTGCCCTTAATGGGGACTCTCGGAAGAGAAAAACCTGTTGGAACGTTGTTCAGTGCCTTCCCTTTGTACCAGATACCAGCTCTTGACCTGTTCCATGGGCTAATAATTCCCACTGCTGAAGGCTGGTTCTTACTCAGTAGCAGAATAATACAACACAATCTGTCCCAACAATTTTTTCCTTTGCTTTTCAAACCCCATACAAAGCACTGATGACAAGCAAGTTTCCTTCCTTTTTCCTGAGTGACTCCACTACAAAGAATGTCAGTCAGAGGTCTTGGATGTCTGTGTCTATACTCTTTCGGGCTGCATTCAGACTTCATACATCAAAATAAATTGAGCTGTGCATTCCGGCAGAAAGCAGAAGGGCTATGTCTGCTGAAATAAAAGCAGTGTGGAGAGCAAGATGAAAGTATACAAATCTCGGGAGATGTAGTATGTAAGTCAGCCATTCAGCTTTGTTTTAATTTGTTTAAAAATAAATCTTGCTTCTGACAGTCAGCTACTTTAGATTTTAATCAAACCTATCTAGTCTGCATGCTTTCTGCACAAGTACTCAGGCTGCTTTGGTTTCTCGCTGGATCAGAAATGAAGAACATTTCTTCCTATTAAGCTTGAAATCTGAGCTATGCGATGTGGGACTTCAAAGTGGGTGTTTTGTCAGGGATGGGTCAGAGAAATGCAGCTTGTTGGTGACGCAAAGAGCTCGGGAATCCCAGTGCCTGATCTGGGCTGGGGCAGCTCCCGCTCTCTTACCATAGTACGCGAGTTTCGTCGTGTCCTGTCCCATCTGTGCCTCCCCGCTTTGGTCTTTTATACGGTGCTGTGAGATCAGTTCGTATCTGCATCCCCTTCCCCCCTCCCCCCAGAATTTAAGCTTGCAGAAAAAAAATCTTGATAACAGTATAAAGAAATGGTGGCGTATGAACTGAGACAAAGCACATGCCCAGGTACCTTCTGGTCCTGCTCGAGCGAGGATGTCAAGCTACACGTGGTTATTTTGCAGTTTGGCTTGGTTCTGCACCCTGTTTCTCAGCAGTAGAGCCCCAATTTCACAGATTTTCATTTCTGTAGTGACTCAGTGTTTGCTAAGTAGGAATATCCCATGCTTCCCCCCAAGGTGCATGCTTGAGGATATTCTTTTTCTGTGCTAAACAGCGAAGGATTGGAGAGGAAGGGAAAGGACTGGTAATCTTCAAAATACTCTTACAGCTATGAGGTTCTTTTCAGAAACATCCTGACTGCAGCTTCCCACACTTGCAAACATTTCATGTCTCACCACACAGCCCAAACTAACCCAAACTCTGAGGGATTGTTATTCATCTCCAGAACTGGTGTTCCTTGATGCAGCTTTTAACTTTCCCACTTCCTGGGTAGTCACTTGATTACAGTGAAGCGCTGGTAACAGTTTCAAAATCCTTGGTGTCTTTCCTAATATTTGGCTGGGTAACCCAGCAGCCTGCAGACCCGCTGTTGCAGCAGCATTTGTGCCGCCCAGAGCCGAAAGGCCCTTTGCCCTCCGTTCGGCTGCACCGTTTCCTCGCTCTGGCACCGGGCGGCTGAGGCGGGTGTGGAACCGTGGGGGACGTGGGCTTTTCCCAGCGCCAGCTCAGCCCACCCGCTGCGGGTGGTTAATTTGCTGGTCCGGTCAGTCTTGACCTTAAAGTTTGGTTGATGGTTCTGATGTCCTGATCAACGCCCCCCTTCCCTGCCCCCCCATCTCCTGCTGCGTCCCCGGCTGCTGTTGCCCGCGGCGCTGGGACGCCTTTGCAGCGGCAGAGCCGCGCCTCAGAGGTGCGAGACGAAGCGGATGCGCTGGGAGTAGGCCAGGTCCACCACGTAGAGCAGCAGGTTCACGTAGGTGAAGATGGCGATCACCAGCTGGCTGTCCCAGGGGCACTTGCCCTTGGCGCAGAGGCCAGGGCGCCGCGGGGACCCGTACTTGCTGTCAAAGCAGAACACCGGCCAGATGACCGCTGCGCTCACGTACAGCAGCACGGCCCCGAAGGTGTAGACGACCACGGAGCGCTCGAAGGGGAACCACAGCAAGGCGGTCTTACCTGTGACGCTGAAGGCCACCACCACCACGGTCACCACAAAGCAGAAGCTGTAGACAGCCACGCACCACTGCGTCGCCACGTATTTACCGTACTGGCTGTCGTTCACCAGCGCCCCGAAGATGATGCAGGCCACGAAGGCCTGCACGATTTTCAGGAGCCCGGAGATGGTGGCCATGTAGCTGGTGACTTGCCCCGGCTTTGCCCTGGTTAAGAACACCTCGGCGGCGTATGTGAAAAACAGGAGGCCTGCGAAGACGCTGGCTGCGATGCGGAAGTCTCTCACCTCACAGCCGATGGGGTAACAGCCGAGCTGCACGAAGTAGAGCGGGTAGATCACCGCGGCCGTGACGGTCATGAGCGTGGCGAGCATGGCAAAAGCGGCAGTGAAGTTCCCCCAGGAGATACTCAGGCAGCTGTGCAGGTGCGTGAATTCGCAGGTGATGATGAAGACGGTGATGGCGAAGCAGAAGGTCCAGACAAACATGCAGAAAGTGCCGTACGCTGCGCTGAACCCCCCCTGGTGTGCTACCAGGCTGAACGTGGTGCACCCAAACGTCACCTGCAGCAAACGAGCTATTCCCACGGGAGACGTCACAGCAGCTGTGTTCAGATACGGTCCCCCCGTGCTCTCCATCATCCTTCCGCTCCAGCAGCCAGCGCACTGAAAGACCCCCGACAGGCCCCTTCAGGCTCTTGCTCCTTTGTCCTGAGTCACACCTGGGTCTGGAGCTGTAGAGCAGCAGCTCTGGTCCCTGCCGGTACCGGTAGGTGCTGCCTCTGACGCTGACTGTGCTCCTGGCAGCCTCTCAGCGCAGACTTGCCAGCTGCAGGGAGGTTACTGCCTGGCTCTGCCCACTGCTGCAACGGTGCCGCGATCCCTTCGCTCCGCGTCCCCAGGTCTGAAACCTGCCCGCATTCTGTCCTTTCACTCTCTCCCTTCGCACAGGATGGCTGAAAGGGTCCCTTTCTCCCCACAGGCTGACATTTATTCCATTTTAGCCCTGCAGCTGTAGCTCTCTGCTGCGCCGTCCGCAGGAACCCAGGAGTATAAATAGGGGCTATATTAATAGTTCTGGAATGAGTCCTGCCCCCCTCAACTGCCGTGAGCGGGTGTTATTTAACACTGACACTGTGAGCTCCATCAGAGGCTCCTGATTATCCTTCTGCGATTCCCCCAGGAAGGCTCCGGCTGCTGGGACGCTCCTGCTCTCCCGGCAGCTGCCCCCCAGCGCGGGGGCCAGTGGTGGAAGGGGGCTGCGACCCGGCCCCGCGCAGACGGGACCTCAGTCCTGCAGACCCAAGGCCCCTGAGCGGGGGCACAAGCCCAGAGACAGCACAAACCCTGTAAAAGGATTTAGGCCAGAGGCTGCGAGAAAAGCTGACTCACTTTGCTCCATTTGATCTGGAGCTGTAATATATTTACCTGCTGTGAAAGGCCCTGCTGTGCTTTGAGCATTAGGGAGAGCATGTGCCTGTGAAGAATCCGAGCACCAGTCCTCACTGTCTCCTTAAACTCTTCCCTGTCTCTGTTTTACTTACATAGGAACCAGTTATTCTTGTATCTCTGAATGCCAAACCCAAATATGATTGTTAAAAAAAAAAATCTCTTTGATATCCGTAGCTCTGTTTTGGAGCACAGATCTCAATATACAGTGTCAAACCCTCCCTCCCGTTGGATCAAAGCTCTTCCCAGTAGCCATTTTTGCTATGTGTTTCCCTAGACTTGGTCTCTACCCAGAAGTCTTTTAATTCTAACTCTAGAAGCCCCAAAGAACATTTCTGACGTAGTTTCAGAATAGGAAAAATTAAAACCACAACACAGTAGAAACATTCCTCCCTTCTCTCATGCTGACTCCTCACCTGCAGACCAGCTCTCGCTCCGCTGGTCCCAGTGTGGAAGCAGGATCATCCTGGTGCAGGGAGCCAGCATGACCAAGGGCCAGCCCAGCCCAGAGGCTTAAAACCGCTCTGCGTGGTTCAAGGTCGTCATCAGCCATGCCCACAGTCTGTCACTTCCTAACTGGAAGTTGTAATCGACCCTCATGCTCAGTGACAATAATAATTGCTTAATATCATTGTTTCTTATTCAAATGCTAATGTAATGATGGGACACCCACCCGTGAGTCCCCGCACACCGAGCTGACAGCCGAGGGTGTCTGCTGGGCTCTGTGATCTCGGTGTGCGGTTCGGGGGCCGCCTCGGCCTGCCCGGGTGCGGGACGCCGCTGCCTCTTCTCCCGTGGCCCTTGTGCCGCAGCCGGGGACTGCGACCAGCGGTTCAGGGAGCTCAGGCAGCTCAAAGCTCCCGGACCCCTGGAAGAATCCCAGTTCTCAGCAGTTTGCGGCCTGCGGGGGCTGCTGGCACCAGCGCTGCGGGCGGGCAGGACAAGCGCTGGGACGCGCGGCCGCAGCAGGGGCCGGGAACGCGCCTTTGCGCCGGGCTCTGCCGGGACAGGACGGGCTCTGGAGGCGACGCAGAACGGCCGGTTTCTGGCTGCTTGATCCACCCTCTGCCCTCCTCCCTTGCTCTTACACATCTTGCCCTCACAGCTGCCCTGGGAGCTGGATCAGGATGCTAATCTCAGGTTTAAAAAAGAACAGCAGAAAACCTGCACCTGACAGGGATTATTTTTAACCTGGAGTCGTCAGTGGTGTGATGGACGCTGCAGCCGTGTGTGTTTGTATCCACCGGCAGCGGCACTGACAGAGCAGCCGGGGCCAGGGGGGTGGACAGGAACTATTTCAGCTGGTATTGCTGCTGCAGGGCACTTGTGATCCAGCCCCGGTTTAAGACAGACACAAGTGGGACAGACGTGGGTTAGGCAGGATGGTTTATGGTGAAGAGCAGAGGCTACAGCACTCCAGCTCACAGCATTCTGTAGGCCAGGGGCAACTTTCCAGAATGATTTGCATGAGAAAAGCGCAAATTTTGTGGATGTTAAGATAAAATGTGCCTACTTTCAGCTTTGTCACCTTCTTGTACCCTCAGTGTCTCTTTCACGGAAATCTCTCCCATTTTCCTTAAAAAACCCGCTGGTGCTAAATGTAGAAAACCTGCATTCATTTGAGGTGGAAGTTGCACAATTAACATCACAACAACCAGGAAATGCAGCAGGAGAGCCAAGGAGCTCCAGGTGAACATGCTCTGCCCCGGGGTCTTGCCCTTCCTGACTCTGTGATGTTAATCCTTCAGCTCTGCAGAAGTTCCCCAGACTTGGCAGCCTGTTGGTGTCTGTGTGGTGGCACGTCCTGTGGAGCAGAGGGGCTGTGTCACAGGCAAAGCTATTGCTGCTGTTGGACTCTCACCCCTGCGGTCTGGGGACGCTGCTTTGCTGTCCCTGTGCAGTCTCAGCACCCCATCAGTGATGCTCTGTTGCACCCAAACACAGCTGAAATCACACTCGTCATTTTTCTTCTTAAGCCCTAGCAGGAGCCCCTCTAACCCCCCCGCCCAACACTCCCCATTGTAGCATTTGGCTGCAACTGCCCGGCGCTGGCTGCGTGGGGTCAGCGAGGAGATGTTTGTTCAGAGCTTGTTGTAGGACAGAGGCGGCTGTGCCGAGCTCCAGGCGCAGGAGCAGTTTCGCAGTTTACAGCCGCTGTGGTCCTGCTGCCCCGTCCCGCCGCAGCTCTGCCAGGGCCTGCTCGAGGACAAGTGCTGGGGAGCTGCTGGTGCACGGGCTGATCCCCCGCCCTGGCCCCGTGACTCCTCGGTGACATGGCGGCTCGAGCAGAGCTGGTCCCGCTCCCGGGCCCCCGTTGCCCCGGGAAGTGACACCACTGAGACCCCCTTGGAGCTGTGCCGGTGGAGGGCAGCGGCCCCCAAACCAAAGAGCCGGAGGAGGGGGCACGGCCGGAGGAGGGGGCACGGCGGGAGGCGGCCTCCAGCCAGGCCGTGGGCTCACAGGTGCAGGTCTGTGGCTCCCGTGGAGCCCAGGGCTGCCGGGCACTGAAGCAGCCTCATTTCCCAGCAGCACACAGATGAGCTGCCAAAGCATTCACATTTTCTTTTCACTCTAAAAACGTGTAAGGAGATGCCAGAGAGAAGGTCATGAATTAGAACCCTCTGCTTCTTGCTGCCCATCTCCTCAGCTTGTCGCTGCTCCTTTGAGACCCTGTTTTGCTGAGCAGGGAGGACGCTGCCTGCATGGTTTAAGGTTTGTTCTGAAAGGAGATCCAGAGCCACAGCACTCGCACGGCAGCTTTGCAGCTCAGATGAATGTTGAGAACCCCTCACGCCCACACTCAGAGCAGGGGCTCCCAAACAGTCCGTCACAGCATCTCACAAAGCGAGATGCTGGCTGGCACAGAGGAGACCGTGGCTCCTGGGCTGTCCAGGGTTTTAGCCTGGGTCCCACGCGAGAGGTGCTGCCAGGAGGGCAGAGTAGCGAGGGCTGGTGTGGGGACAGAAGCTTGGTCGGTGGCTCCATGGCTGCAGCAGATGCTGTGGGACTGGGGAAGCAGCAGCAATGCCGTCCCACTGCTGTTACCACCCTCTGGCAGAGTTTTCGCAGAAATGACGCTGCCTCCACGTTGCCTTTTCCCGGAGCAGCCCTTCTGTGACTTCCCCCTCTCCAGCTCTTCCTCCTTCCAGCTGCCCTAGCCCAGCCGGTAGAACTGGCAGAATCTCGTTGTCCATGGTCTTTGTTGTTGCAGTGGGTTTGGCGTCTGTTACTTGACAGGGGCTGTGGTCCTCCGTGAGGGCTAAAGGGTGGCTTCTGGCCAAGAGTTGGTTTCTCTCAGGTCCTGAGCATTAGCAGTGACTCCGGCAGTGACAGGGACACAGGGTCTACCCCCAGCTCAGGACTGAAACCGCTCACGTGCCCGAGGCCCAGGTCCGGGCTGTGGCCATGCAGTGCAAGTCCATCCATTCCGCTATGGCTTTTGACTTCTTGGCTGCATTTTCATTCTGGCTCAATCATGTGATGCTTTTGGAGACAGTTTTTCCCTCTCAGAGGGAAAGCGTCTCATCTAGTCATAAGATCGGAGAGTACAAACACATGGTACCGAATTCTTCCAGTCTTGCCCTTTTTGCCACTGGCTTCCACACAGCAGACGTCACTGGGGATGAACCCAGCAGTGCCAGCTTTGCAGAGGCTTGGGAAAACTGTATTTATTGCACAAGTACAAGGATAGTGCTGGAAACGACTTCCTGGGTTATAGATTCCAGTTTCCAGCTACGACTTGCAACCAGATTGTATGATTTTTCTAATAAACTAGCCAAGTTCCCTTTTAAAAATATTTCTAAGACTTCTCCCTGCTACATATTTTAAAAGACTGTTGCAGAAGCACACTGAGCTAAAAGAACATTCCCTGACTCCCAGGGATATTTTTTTCCTGTGCTCTGAACACTCTTTGCCCTTTAGAAATTAACCTTTGAATCGATGCGTTAGATAGACAGGTAACCAGCTCTGCAAAAAGCATTCCAGACTTCAGCAGTGGTACTTGCACTTTAGCATTTCCTAGTAGAAATACACCGCGGGTCACAGCCCAGGGCACGTGCCCTGTCTACAGGGGCATCATCGTCCTGTGCAGTCATCCTGTGGGCAGCGGGTCCCCTCGGTGTGCCCAGCAGAACCAGCGCGCAGCGGAAATTCTGGCTACGGCTCCAGGACCAGACTTGGGCTGCCTCCACGTGGCTCCAGCCCCCGAGGAATCCCACCTCCCTCTCTGCTTTTCTAAATGTTGTCTGCACTGGAGAAGCTTCTCAACTTAGTGGCATGAAAAACGTAACCAGAACAATTTTCCTTTTCTACCCAGGTCATTCAAACACAGAGTGTATCGGTGATCCCTAGATCAATCAGAGGGAAAGTCCACCAAGAGTTTTCCTGCATTTCAGTTCTGCTGGGAGCACCACTTTTCTCTTCAGCTACTTTTTTATCTTAAAGGTGTACCAAACCCATCTTGCCCAGCAGGATGGCTCATTTCCTCTGGCACCGCCCGACTGTTTGCTCAAGTCCATGAAAAGTAAGGGAATGGCTGCAGTTTTGTTAATTTTGTGGTTTACTCACCTAAAACAATGGATCTTACAAACACCACTACCCTTCTAACCTGGCAGGACCTATCACAAAAGTGCATGGAATTTTTCTAAAATTAGGCCCTAATTTTCTGAGGCCTATGCATTGTGCAACCGTTTACAAAAGTGCAAGCAAACGCAAGGTCAGTGTCAGCCGCTTCTGCCGAAGGGATGTCAGCGATGCTCCCTGGGCAGGTTTGTCCACGCCAGCTGCGCTTCGCTGCGGCGCGAAGCTCTTCTGCGACTGCCGCCTGCTCTCCCCTGAGGAATGGTCTCTCCCCCTCTCCAGCTGCAGTCCCACATTCCTGATCCCTCCCTTCTCCTCCCATTACCATCAAAGCGGAGTCTCTGTTCTGAGGCGGGTGTGTTTGCAAACGACTACAAGAACAGAAATATGTTGGTGCTTGTCTTGCGTTCTCTGCCTTTCATGTTCCAAACGCTCCCCGTTTTGAGAGGCCAGCCAGTCCCATCAGACGTTTCTCTCACTCGAACAGAGGCCTCTGCCGCAAACCCAGATCTCCCTGCACCGAAAAAACGCAGCGCCCTGGAGTACATGGCACCTTGGCCAGGCTGGAAACGCTGTCAAGTGTGCAAATGTCAGATGCTGGGTGAAAGTCTCTGTACTCAGACTCGCGTTACAACCTCTCCATCAGAGAAACAACAACAAAGCACACTGCAAGGGGAACACAGAAGTCTAATTGATACAAAATGCCAATACCACCCTCAGCCCCCTCCCAGGCACAAGTGATCAACCGGATAACCCATCAAACGAGCAGCATATACAACTTTACAAAGACATATGTATGGTTCTCTGGTCAGCCCTTATAAATAGCGTTTTACATATTAAAATAAATATGTCCACATTGCCAAAGTAGCAAGAGGTTTCTTCGTTATTTAAAAAAAATATGTTACAAAACAATATCATTTATATTTCTTGCTTAGTTTAAAAAAAAGTAATAAAAAAGTCATTTTATAAAATAATACGAAAGTAAATTGAGTACAAGAGCGTCCATCCCTAGCACGTGTCCTGGGTTTGACGTATGACTCATCACGAGATGCTGACCTCCAGGACGCCACGTAACCATTCCTTCACTTCTGGTTGGACAAAGGAAATCCAGTGCTTGCTTTTTTCACCACTTGTATCAAGTCTATGATGTAAAATTCATGGCAAGGGAAGAAGTCCTAGACCTGGGGAACATTCTCATTGCTGCTACTTATGGCTTTGCTACTCCCTGTATCAGACCGCCCTGTGTACCACAGGAAGATGATGTGAATGGCCAAAACCGAGCCCTGGAGTTTGGAGGTAACAAGTTCCAGTCGAAAAATTGGGTTTTTTTGGTTTCTTGACACATCCTAAGTGTGCAAGAGTGTGGGAGCACGTGGGTGTGTACAGGTTGGAGCCTGCGTGGGTGTGAGCGTGCGTCTGCCTGCGTGAGCTGAGGGAGATTACGAAGTGTGGGAGAAGGGCCGAGTCCCCGCCCGCCCCGACCTCTGCCCGCACGCAGCCCCGCCCTAGTTCCCACTGCTGAGCATCCCCAGGAGTTTGCTGGGCTCCAGGCCCTGCTGCTGTGCCATCTTCTGAACGTCAAAGCCCATGTGCATGAGGAACTGGATCACGTTCATCTCCTGCCCTGTGAACTGGTCCCTGATGGTGGGGCACGAGGGGTTGCAGTGGGGCCAGGGGCAGCTGTCAATCAGGTGGATGGGGCAGCCCTTCAGAGGGGCCTTCCCGTTCCTGTTGCTCTCGTGCAGGCTGCGGTCCCAGCAGTGCAGGGCCCGGGGCAGCGACGTCCCCTTCACCTGGATGTCTGTCCAGTGGCTGCAAGGACAAACCGCGCAGGTGGCATCAGAGGGGCCCGGCGCCGGCACCGGGCGGCCCCCCACC